ATATGTTTCTGAACCACACACACACACACACACACACACACACACACACACACATATATATATATATATATATATATAGAGAGAGAGAGAGAGAGAGAGAGAGAGAGAGAGTATAGATCCATTTTAAAAACGAGTTATCCTTTGACTCTAAAGCCACCTTAATAACATAACAGGCCCCACCAGTGAGTTTGATCAGGTGTGCATTTAAGCTTAATACTTAGTACTAAGAAGTACTTTGAACAATTAATAATTTCACTTGATCCAGTGACATTTTGACCATACCCATCAGAATGTTACATTGCTGTGCTGTAGTAGTGTTAGCCCCTCCCCAAAAAGCTGTCATTGTTCAGATGCATGAATGCCAGTCCCAAGAGAATACCGAGCAACACCTCAACACTATGTGTTTAGTGGTAAGGGCTCTTAATGTTTTTCGTTCAGTATTGTCTATGTCTGTCAGCGCACGGGAAGGCGAGGAACGTAATTTCGATACCTCTGTATGTTCTGTACATGTGAAGGTATTGACAATAAAGCTGACCTTGACCTTGACCTTGACCCTTGACCTCTTACCTTACATCAAGATTATACGGTTGATCCTCTGTTGTAACTGAAGGTTTCGTGAGATTGAGTTTGCATGCTGTGTGTGTCTATGTACATGGATGTTCTCCAGGCACTCCAGTTCCATCCTACAATCCACAAAAATGCAAGATTACATTAATTACAGACACTAGAACTTGATATATATATATATATATATATATATGTGTGTGTGTGTGTGTGTGTGTGTGTGTGTGTGTGTGGTTCAGAAACATATGTCTAAAGTTCTACATCTGACCTTCACACTCACATTTAGAAGAAAATAATCTTGACAGCTCTCCTTTAGCTATAGCTGAATCATCATACTTTGTTACATAATTTGCCATAGACCTAGGCAACAAATTATGCAGACACACACATATGTACTGATGAAGTCAATTATTTGCACCATGTCCCATGAAGAAGAACAGGGGAGATAGCCTGTGTAAATATGACACACAGGTATGACTGCATATGCAAACACACTTGCTCTTGTATGTGTTTTTACTTTTAAGCCTCCGATCTCTTACGTCTGAACATTCACCTCATATTATCTAAATGTGTACATTACTATAAAAGAAAAAAAACCCTTCGGACTTAACATTATTTCATGTCCGACCTTTTTTCCAGCTTTTTCTGTGAGATGTGCTTCATTAGAGGTTTGACAAGAACATGGTGAACGTTGTGGGAGAACAAGTGTTATGTGCGTAAGACAGGGATTCACATAAGCGTACGAGCAGCAAAAAATGATTGGGGCATGAACTAGACATGGACTCTGAGGTCAGGAATTCAGACAGCAAAGCTGAATCAGCAGTATCTCAGCTATGGTAGAAAACTATTATCTGTTAGGTAAGTAAAGGTAGGCACGCAACATATTCCTGTTTCATCTGTCTATGTGATGTATGGACAGGAATTTGATTCCCGTCTAGATTTGCAGGACCTAAAACTGTCTTGGACTTGAATATTTGTTGTGTGATGCTGCTCTTACTTCTGTGTAGCCTACTTGAAAGCCAATATCTTTTCAATTGTTTTGTAAATTTGTTGTCAAGTCATAGAGACACTGAGGTATCCTATGAATATGAAAAAAAGTTCATCAAGTTATTTTTTTTGTCTCCAGTCAGGCGACTGACTGTCTGAAGGACAGAGGAAATGGGTCAGTACATTGTACTGTATACCATTCTGCTCAATCTTTCTATCAGACAGGGTGGATTAGTGAATTCTCTTGAACCATGAGATACTTCACAGCTTAAAGAAGTAAAGACAGGTTTTCTTACATCGATTGTGTTAAAAAGAAAACACTGACGACAGACAGAGGAAAGGTGACATTATCATGTTTCACCCAGAAACACCCCATTCCATTGAAATGAAAATAATGACGTAACCCATGAGGATTTGAGGTTTGTTTGTCATCTTCAATGCAACATGAACGTCACATTGATGTACCTTAGTACCATGTTCTACTCACACGTGTTGGTTAACACGTGCTCTCACTAGACAACAACAAAAACACAGTCATCTTTAAGGTTTGGCCTCCTAGGATTCGGTGTATGCCAATTTAATACAATTTGATAATCTAATTGTAATGTCAAGAGCACATTGCGAAACTGCTGTTACAGAATTTGGTCTCTTTGAAACCAAGGCCTTTGGGTTTGACAGAAAACTCCTTGCTTACTGGCTTAAAGATATATATAACGTACAAAAGACAATTTTAAATGTACTCTATTGAAACCTTCTGATCTAATTCAATGTTCTGAGGTCACAGGATGTCATTTTAACCTTCCTTGAATTTTTTCGAACATCATGCTTTGATGTGGACCTTCCTCCTTACCTCATATGAATGGAGACCCTGAGTAAGTAACATTTATCCAACTTATGTTTGAAGTCCTTGGCATTTCCAATTTAGTTTTTTACTGAATACCTCAGCTTCTTATTGCCCAGCCATTGTTTTTGCAGATAAATGTTAGCAGACAAGAATGCAGCCAAGTCACAGCTTTTACAGCCAACCAGTTAAAACCTAACCTATTGTATATGAAGAAATGGATAGAACTATGTCGTTAGTCATGCTCTTCAAGAGGTAGAAGGTAGTGGTTACATAACTTTTAGTAGCAGGTGCCCTAGGTACTCTCTGTACTTCAGTCATGTATGATCCTATCTGACTGAAGATAATGCTAATGATCCTGCAGCAGATCCATGTCCTCCTTCTTCTCATGCAGCCTCTGAGACTAAACATGTTGTTGAAGCCAAGCCTCATTAAAAATGACGACTAATGCAGACAACGGGCGATGCAGTTCACTCTAATGGATGCCTAATGGAATTATCTGTGGAGCTGTTATGGTGCCGTGGTGGACGCCTTTAACAATGTCTGAAAAGTAATTGCTTGTGTTTTTACGGCCTTTCTGGGAAGAAGGTAAACAATTGAAACCCTCCCTGGAAATGTTGGGTGACAATCAAAAGTTTGTGTTCCTCTCATTTGCAGCAGGAGACCAAACAAAACCCAGAAGCTGCTGCCAATAAACTCACAATCTTAGAGTTATTAAAAGAAGTAATAACTAATTTCCTCATTGTGGCTGCATTAAAAAAAAAAAAAATTAAATGCTAATCACTGACCAATTAAGGACCGGTCTTAAATGTAAGGGTTTGTTTTTATATATATAATAGAGCAAAAATAATAGAGCAAACACAGAAGTGTCCTTGGATGTGATCAATTATATTTTTCCGAAAAATATGTCAGCCTCATATTGTTGAAAAATGTTATCCACAAATATAAAACACATGAGGAATATAAGTCTGTATATTGAACCTTGATTTCTTTTCAGCTGCACACAACAGAAAATGTGGAATAAATATATTACTTAACTTGACTAAAAAAGTTGAATGCATCATGTATTATAAGAAACTTTATTCCTGTTTCTCTTGCATAATCTCACCTCCATTTGCCTGCAAGAAGGAAAACAAGTCCATTAACCAATGCAAAGATTCATCTACACACAGAAGCTCCCCACTGATTCCTTATTGTCAAAATGTCCTCAGGTCCTTCACTCATCTTCTACAGTGGCTGCCTGTCATTATCTGATTGTATCACAAAATAAGAAAATCAATAGTGGGGTTTCACAGTGAGGGTCACAGCAACTAGACTGCCACAAATGGTTCAGCTTTTCTGTTGAAATGTGACAAAACAAGAGGAGTGGCTGTGTTACTGAGGAAGAGATACTAAGAGTCAGACTCAGGTCATTAACTCAGCTGCAGCACTAGTAATTGCTCTTTTCTGGAACACGAGAAGCACTGAGAGAAACCTAACTTTGAAATGGATACTGGCGTGTACATTTGTTTTATTCTATGAAAAGCAAACGTCTGACAACTTTGAATGGTAACTGTGAATATGACCAAAAGCCCAACTGGCATTTGATAGAGAATATTGGATTTAGCCTTTAATCTAGCATGGTTAATCTAGCATGGTTAATCCAGCGTAATTTATTTAGCATGGTTTAGTTCAGTGACTGTTTGTTTTGGTATACCAATCATGTACAAGCAGTTGTAGCATGTTGTAAGAAACCAAGGTAAAATCCTTAGACATGTGTCAGACCTCATGCCTGTTCATGGTGTGGTGAAATACTGTGACATACACAGTATATATATATATGCATCTATACTGTATATAGTGAAGCCCAAAATGGTAACCTTTTTTAAGCATTTTAGCTTGAAAGGAAAAGTCACTAGTGCCTCTCTTGAAGCCGCTAGCTCAAGTTCAAGTGGGGGAGCTGAGGGTAAATGTCAGGACAAAGGTCAAATAGATAGTGGATTCCAGAAGGTTCAAAGGTGTTACTGAAGATAAAAGGGATACCACAAAAAGATCTCCACCATATGTCCATGCAGGGAGAAAAAGACAGGAAGTGTAAAATGCGATAGATCCAGTGTGACTGATGCATCTTCAACAGTACTGTTGGATCATCTGCTCAGTCAATTCTCACACTGATTTCTGTTTAGTCTGGTTTATTTCTTTTTCAGACTCCAGCAGAGCAGTCAGGTACTTTCAGGTTTCACTAGGTTGTGAAAGCCCAGGCATTAAAAACTGACCTTCAAGTCCTCTGACCCCATCAGAGAGACAACCACAAACCATTCAAAGAAAGACGAAGCTAGTCGTAAAAAAAAAAAAAACATCTATGTGGAAATACATATATAAACTGTATATATAGTCAATTATTTATTAACAATGTTATACCATCTCCACCATAATCAGCAGGACTTGCACCAAAAAAGGCACAGTGGGCTTCACTTTACTAAGGTCTCTACAGAAAGAAAACTCCACATATACAGTACATTCAGAAAACAACTTCTTAACAGACTTTAAAAAATTAACTTACTAAAACATTTATGTATAACACTATATATATATATATTTACACACACATATAAAACCATGTACAGTAAAAATCACACACAGTATCAAACATCTACATTTTCTATTAAAAATTATTTTAGTGCAAAAGCATTTTTATCATATAAAAATACAGGGCTGTCATTTTTCTTTTCTGGTATTGTAAAAAGGTTAAAGATGTGTGTCAGCGATTGGGATCCGTCTCAGCTCAACGATTTGGGAATTGGTCACGCTTCCTCCGTCATGGCTTCCGGGAATAGATTCATTATCGCTTACATTAAGGCCTGTTCCTGAAAAATACAACAAAGCATTTTCAACAATTCTGTTGAGCAATTTGGACTTTTTTATTTTGATTATCAATTATGAGTCTTAACTGGTAGTGGTGACAAAGTGGTGTTTTTCAGGGTTCAAATCTTGGATCCTGAAGGTTCAATTCTTGAGTCATTTTTGTTTATTTTGACCTTTTCTGTCTCAGTTTAAACTTTTTCAACTCTCCTACTATTAACTTTCCTATCTGATCACACACAGCTTTATAATAGTAGTACAGTCATTTTTGGTTGTGTGTGTTAAAGAAATCAGTTAGCGGATGAGAAAGAAATGCAAGATTTTTTTGTCACTACATAACAAATATATGTATTCCCCCCCCCCCCTCCCCACGCNNNNCTGTTTGACAAATGATCAAGAATGCATTTACATCAAAACAAAACATGTAAAAAAGTTACCAAAGTCTTTGTCTCTTGTAGTTTTAATAGTAATACAGGTTTTATACAACCCCAGATATAAGAAGGGCAGGCACAGTTAGTCCTTTCGATGTATCCTTACATAAAGTACTGTCTATGTTTTATACATGCTTCATTTTTTATTTCCACCCTATTTTCTCAAACATGTAAAGCACATTTTAATATATATATGTATATATATATATATATATATGTGTGTGTGTGTGTGTGTGTGTATAAATCTATATGTATATTTATATATATATTCTGTATGTGTTACTCAACAGTGAGACCATTAACCAGTAGACTCTATTTTGCTGATCAAGTTCAGCGGCTGATTATGTCACAATTAGATCATTACAGTTAACATGGTATTATGTAACTTTACATGTGATGTACAGTATCAGTCATGGTAGGTGCTGTGAGTGTTTATACATGTTTGTGTAGTAGTAGTTCTATGATAAAAAACCTGAGGCAGACTATAGATTACTTATATTGCTAAGTTAAATAATACTGTAATGAAAAAAATATCACATTTTTCATTACAGTATTTTTTAAGGTAAATTATGCGACAACTTTCTAAAAAAAATAAACAATTTAATTATACAAAATTATTCTTTAGAAGTACAATGTGATCTGAGTTGCATATGACAGTGTATTTTTGCCCTCTGCCTGTATTTTCCTTTTATTTTTTCAGCTGGAAGGACCTTTTTTGGCAGTAACCTCCAATATCAGCCCTGGAAAATAATGTTTTGAAGATACACACAATACGGGATGCACATTTTTCCACTAACCCTCTACGAGTCTGCATCTAATCCTGATAGTTTAAACAAGTACGAAGAGCCTGTCAACTGTAAGAAACCCTGAAGAGCCATGTTAGCAGTGAGGCCCACAGAGGAGCTGAGTGTTGCTGGAGGCACTGGTGCTGAAGCTCCACATCAGCCAAGTCTTAACTTTTAACCCTGGAAAAACTATCAGTCACCAGGAGATTAACAAGCATGAAGCAGAAGAACTGCTCTAGGACACACAACTGTTGTCAAACATGACAGCTCAATCTTTAAGGTGTTTTATCAACCAAATTACAATTAGGACTAAGGAAGGAACATGCTCTGATGTAACTGTGTAATCATTATTATTATGAACAGAATTAATCAGTAATTGTGCAAATACAATTTGACGGTTGGTTCAGTTACTTTTCTGAGAATAAGTGAGTTGTTGAAAGTCAGTCCAGCCGCAGGTTGTGACATAACCAGAGGGTCAGGGCACAGACAGGCTCAAGGCTCTGATCCAGTTAATAGTTAACTATGCTTTAAGTTTAGAAACTTGTTAAAACACATTAGTTAGTGACCCGGTGAGCCAGTTATGTAATTATGTAACTGATTATTGAATTATCTTCACTGCTGACTGTCTGACTAGAAGAAGAAGGTTATAGACTCAGTGTGACATGAACATGGCCATGCATGAGGTCAAAGTTTCAAAGTAATAGTTGTGCAATGGAAAAAAGAACGGAGACTAAAATTCATTGTACACTGAAAATATTTCATTTTGAGACAAATGCAGGAATCTGCAGGGAGCCAACAGCTTTGAGTTAATTAAAAACTTGCAAACGTGCCTTTTAGCCTCACTCAGTATTATGAATGAACACCTTACATTGCTGAGTTTGCAAAGATGAGGGGCGATAAATCCCTTTGGCTCGTTCACCGATGCTCTGAGGATATTTAAAGCTCCAGTGACATACAGACAAACTGGACAGCAGGACAGAGGGAGGACAAGACATGGCATGAGACAAATGTCCCATTAATGTAGCTGTCAGGTTACTTGGGATTAATTGTTGTAAAGCAACATTCTGGATCCCCTAGACCATTGTTGCGACCCTCAGGTGGGTTGCAAGAAATTGTTTTTGGGTCGTCTCGCATCATGTTCCCCAGGATTTCTCAGTCCTCACAACAGCTCTGTTCAACCTCAAAATGGCTGCCAGTAAAAAGCTCCACATGTGGTTATGTTTAAAACATGAGGAATACTAATTGTTTAGTTATCATATGAGGATATCAATTAATATCCTCATTAATGTTCAATAATGGTCAAGTACACCTATATTTAGTGATTTATGAATAATTTCTATTGATCCACAATTGGGTACTGGGCTGCGGCCCATCCTAGAGCCTGTTACTATATTAACCAAATATGAACCTAGCCTAACCTGCAACTCTTTCCTCACAAAGCACCGTTATGCTGTGAAAAATGACATCATAGTGATAAAATGAAAATGATAGTTTCAGAGTTAAATTTTAATGATTACCTGTACACACACCCAGTTTTCTATACTTCAGGGTGGATCTTATGTATATGTTATATATTGAGATCCCTTTAAAAAGAAGTGTAGGAAATAAAACATATTTCTATATTTTTCCTTTGTGCACATTATGTATTTATAGAAGGATATTTGGATCTGCTTGCATACTAACTGAGGCCAGGTCAGTTAGAAATTAGAACAGCAGCAGTCAGGCTGCATAATGCAGAGAAAAAAATCTACATACAGTAGGTGCATGGAGTTAATGGTCCTAAGTACTCAGATATCCCTGAGATTAAAGACACACATACACAAAAACCCATCACTTGTGTGCGAGCTTCGGACATACATCATCTAAGGGGGATGGTTTCCATGGCAGCAAACAGATTTACTGACTCACATAATGAGTCAGTAAGATTTAAAACCACTTATGCTAATTTTGACTCTCTTAGCTGTAAAAACACTGACCTGTGCTGTTATTTAAATTCATGTAAAAGTAAATACATAAACATAATATTAAACTGATATCGTACAGTGGTGCACAGTCTGACACTCACCGGTCTTTAAGGCAAATATGAGGTCATCAAACTCCTGCAACTCCTCGTCTGTGGTCAGGTTGGTGTTGATGAAACCAGGATCCGTGCTGTACGTGCCCAAAACAGGACTGGGTTTAAACGCACTGCTGTGCTGACTGCTGGGCCGCAAGGATGTTCGCTCCCAGTCTGCTGATACCTAAGACACACACGCACACACACACATCCACAGACATAATATTGTTATTTGAGTTAAAGAACAAAGGCAAATAATTTTAATACCTTGTTTCAGATACATCAGATTATGTGGACAATTTATATACAAATGTGCACCCTAGTAAACACATGCACACACTGAAACACTTCAATGATAAACTGGCCATTCCTATCAGCCGTGTAATCACAGCCTGTGATGAGTTAGTAGGGTCATGGAGAGTGCATGTTGTCCTGGCACCCTAAAAGGTTCACAGGGTCAGAGCAGGTTCACGGGGTCAAAGTGAGGTTAGTGTGTCTTGGGTGTCACATTTAATCAACTAGGTGGCATGAAATGATGCCATCAGAATAACAGGGCAAAGTGAAAATAAAACATTTTTTAGTGTTCTGTCATATGTGTGGTTATTGTAAATAGTATAAAATGCTCCCATGAGAACCCAAGCATTATCTTTATAGCAGTAAGAATGTTTTATAATTCAAATGTGTATTATGTAAAATAATGTAATATGTATTAAAATAGTTGCTATTTTTTCATATATTTGATTAAACATAATCCAACTATCATCTGTGGAGGAACTGTCTAAAATATCCGCTAAACAATTTGGCACGATATCAGCCATTGGCCCGTCCTTCTTATAGATCAGACGGTGGCATCCAAAGTAGTGGTTTAAGCAAGGCCACGTTCAAGACTGTAAAACACTCCAGGGACAAGTTGTTCTCTTTAGATATTTAATTCTATATCTAATTACGTTTATTTGGTGCATAATATCTGCTCCTGTTTTATGAAAATCCAACATCCCTACATCGAATAACGCAAAGGCAAATTAAGTTTTACAATAAAAGGGTCAACTCTGTTTTGTGACAGAAAAATAACATCAAACTTGAAGGGGAATGTTTAGAAGACAGTAGTGAGACCTGCTATGATTTTTCAGCAGTTATAGAAAGTGTTTACAGGATGGAATTAAAACATAGCTAAAAGTAAATTTTTTTAAGACAGATTAAATTATCATATCATTATATAGTAATCTTTGTAATTATATCTCCATTTCAGCAATATACGGTTTTAATTCAATTTTTCCATGAGTTCATGTTTAGGTTAAAGGCATAGAAGCTACATTACAGACTTACATTAATAATATCCTTTATACCTGATTTATTAGATAAGATTTTCATTTTCTTTCCTGTTTGGCAACAAGTAACACTTGAATATGGGCTACACTGTGGACAACCTTTTAAAATCACTGAAACAACGGCTTGTTTACTACTGTATGTGCTAACCTAAAATATAAAAGAGAGATAATGAGAACGAAATTGTAACTGGTATATGTCTGGTCCTGACGACTTTTCACATAAACAACAATGTATGAAATATAATGTATTATTATTATTATTATTATTATTACACCCTGATTACTATGGAAGTGTTTTATATTCAGGTTGGGTTTATAAATATAAATATAAATGGACATATGTGTTAAAGCATGTGTGTGTTTGTGGTTTGCTTGGCTCTAACCAAGGTGGTTATAACTACACAGACAGACAACACCTCAGATCTCCCACATCCTCTTCTAGAGGTACTGGTGAGTGGGTAACTCCAACTTCTTGACCATCCTTCAGTTTCTGTGCAAACCGTCCAATTCCCTAATACTGAGGGCATGCTCTTAAGAATATGACATGATGAGTGGACTTGAGTATGCAGAGGGGCAGCAGCTCAGTCCATATATGGTATGCTTTAAACATGGAGATGGTGAGCAGTGATTTGGTTGTGAACAGAAACAGGAGGCATCAGAAAACAATAGGTAAAGTCTGACCATTTAGTGATATACACAGAGACACACAGAGGCCTGGGCCCCAATGACGGTGCGTGTCTGAGAGAGTGGGTATAAAATGTTCTGTATGCAGTCACACTCAGCTGACATGAGAAATGTGTGAGAACTTAACTCTGGGAATGAGGCCAAAGGAGGAATAAAAATCTTACAAATGTCAAAAGTTGAAAAGTGAAGTATAAATTATAATTAATTCCTCTACAGAGACTTACTTCTACAGTTTGAGCTTTTTAACATTTTTAAACATTTGAATGCTTTTAAAGTTGGGACATTTGTGTGCGACAAAGATGCTGAGATGTGAGGACACAGTGACATTGGCCCAACGACATTGTGTACAATGGAATTTCCATGCTCAATATAAAAGTTAAATGCAGAGTTGACTGGCTGTTACCGGTTTCAGGACTGCTGCAGTTTCAGGACTGCTGCAGTATCTCAGCAAAAACATTTGCAGTACTGCTTGTTTGTACTTTTTATAAACAGTCTGACACTTGGATCGTGTAAAAAAACAACTTTCTGGATACACAAGAAGGGGATGGCGCTCACAGTGGAAAATTAGGTGTGACTAAATCATGAGTATGACATGTTAAAGATGAATTAGTTGTGATTGATTATATAATCGTATCTGGACCTTTTCAAGACAGACATTAACGCACGCCTGACCTCATACTTCTTCTGTGTAGATAAGCATACATTTTTAAACAAAATTTTAAAAAATAAAGAAATTTACTGTTCACGATTAGAATTTTTTCTCTTTTAGAAAAAGTTATTTATATAAATCATTTAGACATTTTAAGGATTAAGCTCATGCTAATCAATTTGTACTGGATTAGTTGTTGATAACTGATTGAAGTATAGAATACAAGCAGAGAGGGTACATAAATCAAAAATAACCTTTCATTAGTATGCCTCAAAGACAGAACAAAGTACCTGCTGGTTGATTCAGGTATTTGAATTAAAACAATATTAAAATCAAGTAAATATTTATTGTCCTGCCCATATGAAGAGAGAATCAACATAAAACAGAAGAGATCGTGGGTGATCGAACCATGTGACCCTGCATGACAGCAGTATTGATGAATATTTTAAAGATGGTGCCACTGCTTCATTTCCGAAAAAGCATAATAAAATATTTTTTATGAAATTGTCATCACCAGAAAGATGTGATATAATGGGTTGAGAAAAGATTGTCTAGGGAATTCAATAGAGTTGACATCTGTGTATATACAGTTCATAAAATAGTCCTCTTGCACATTGTGTATGTGTGTGTGGGGTACCTCTTCCATGGCACTGATGAGGTTCTGAGTGGATTTGTTGATATCGGCTCCCACAGTGGTGGGTCCCCCTCCAGGGTAGCTAGAGTCTGGAGAGTCCTGGCCGTTCATCTCCACTGTGTAACTAGCTTTAGTTGGCCAACACAGCTGGTTGTGCATGATGAAGTACACTGCAAACACATACAAGCCCTGCAGCCACACAGAAGGAAAGACAGGAAAAATAATCAGCATTTATGATCTCATTAGTATTGTCACTAGTGGTCAGTGACATGTACGATACTAAAACTCCACGTTTATAGTCAGATATTTAGACATGTGGTCTTTAATCAGTTAGTGCTCGTGGCCAATCAAACACAGTATCCACTTACATACCTATACCCAAGTATTAATGTAAGTCATCAGCATATACTGTGCTACATCAGCTCTTTCTGGCAGCTGTACTTTATTTCTTCTCACATCTTCAAACCTAACAGCCCATCTTTCAACATGATTAATGAATTACTTCGTCACCAGGACATGACATCATTGGCACCCAGATATTTCGCCATTGCCCGCTTCCACATTGTTACCAAATCCTGCTGGTCAACAGCACTGTGCTGTGAATTACTCTAAAACACCGGAGCGTCAAATACGACAGGGCCATCCAGTATTTCACAACAGCTATCACTCTGTGATGACGACAGTGGCAGACTGAGATGGAATGCAAAAAAAGAGCCATCAGCCGGAATGTGCGTCGGAACAAGTGCAGTTAAGGTGACAAAAAACAGAGATGAAGACATAGCTGAGGTTTCAGCAAGTGTTGGTTAAATAAGTGTTCTCTAAAATGCCCTTGACGTCAAAGGCCTAGCATGTTTCTTGGAATTGTGGACAAGAAGAAGACATGAAAATTGTATCTCATAAAGTTGTCGTTATTTTATTCATTTAAGAACTTTCTGAAAGTAATAGTGACATTATGAAAAGAGAAGTAGAAACTGTGGTTTATGGGTGTGTTGTATGTGTGTGCTGCAACTTCCGACTCATAAAAGTTGAAAACAATGTGTGCAAATATATAAAAAGGAACATGTTACAGCTCAGAGGTCATTAGTGGCTGGGCCATGAAAGTGTGAAATCATTTGCAGCTGTAAATCCACATCAATATACAATGTGTTAAACCACGTAATAATCAGTTTAAAGATAGATTAATAAGTGTGTAGGAGTATATTTTGCTATTTACCACAACGGTGTTGTGGGTGATTAGTGCATACCATTAGCAGGCTGTGCAACCAGAAGAACAGGCTTTACAGCCAGCCTGTTATATAAGTGTTACCTGAGGAAAGGTCAGGTCTTTACCAAAAAGAAATGCAAAGACACAGACCAAGGTCTTTGGCCATTTTCTTTAGTCCTTTAGAGTACATGGACCACAAGCTGTTGAGAAACATTTATACTCTCACCTGTAAAACTGCAAACAATACCACCGTTAGTTCTTAATAAGTTTGAATATATGTGAGCTGTAGGTTTAATTTCCCACTTTATCCCAGTTGACAAACATGATAAAGTTGTTCTGGTAAAAATCTGAAACGTAGTTTTTAGTAGTTTGAAAAACTTAACTGATGTGAAAACATTGCTGTTGGCTGATGTTTAATTCAGGTTATAAACTGGACGATTGATGTGCAGCAGTCTTCCCTACTGTCTGCACTGAAACTGCTGTGAACATATCATATAAAACAACATTTCTGTCCTTTGGATACTGGTTTCACATCTGATGGCTCATTTGGATTAAAACAGATATATTCTGTAGCTATTTACAGACTACAGAGGTTGGGTGGGAAAGTAGTGGTGGAATCAAATCTTACTGGAACCAGTTACTGCTTGAGAGTGCTGTGTATTTCTGTCTGTAACAATAATATAAGATAAAAAGGCCTGGTTTACAGTAACAGTGATGAAGAAGGATACAAGTAACACCTACATTAGTGGCCTTTGCTGTGGACTTTATTACTGATGCCTGTTACTGAGTCTGTCTTCTTGTGTAATTACAATGGAAAAGTAGCTGTGATAGTAAGGTTTCTATGCTACCGTCTGTGGACTTTAAACAAGTCAATGCAACTCAGTCAATTATGTTGGCGTTGTTGATAACAACAGAAGAGGATATATTGCTCTATATTCCCTGGAAGAACCACATATCCATAATGGCGTCTCCCGTGGCAACCTCGTATTAGGCTCCTCCTCTGGTGGCAGCCATTTGTGTTGGTTGCAGGGGCTCGATTATTATTATTACTACTATTATTATTGAAGAGATTTAGGCAGAAAGATTGTGTAGAACATCCAATGTTGGAGTTTGTGCTCCCTGGACCAAGAACAAGTTTAAAAGTTCAGAGCGAGAAAAAGGCTAGAAAATTTAAAAAATAAAAGCAATATTTTATTGTCACTTTCTTATGCATCAGTTCATGGATTTTCCAGGTGGATTGAATGTACTTGTTTCCACAAGAACACATGGTGCAATGTTTGAACCATTATATGATCATTATGTGGAATATGACAGCACATATGAGTCAGCATCAACATTGAATTACACACTTTCATTGTTTGCCTCTCATTGATTTTTGAAGATCTGGATTTTCTAAATACCCATAGTATTAGAAATTAATATTTTCCCCCAGTGTTATCTTAACTATTGAATGCTGATATTAAAATAGTTGTAAACATACACATTTCTAAAAAGCTATACATTTTACCAACAGACCAGATATGGATGCCTAGATATGATAAAGTTTGATATATGGAGAATGGGCGTGGCCTGAATGGCCAGTCAGGTAGCAGTTTGGAAATTATTAGATTTAAAGTCTGGTGTGGATCAACTTTTAGGCCTTGACTAAAAGTGTGGCTTAATGAAGAACAGTGGAGACTGCAGGTTCAACAACTGAAAGAGTTCTAACTCTCCTGCAACACTACGTTGTGCACAGCTGCAGCATCTGCATGTATTTACTTTTGTTCAGTAATCACCTGTAGGGAGGTGTGAAACACAACAACCTCAGCAGCAGCAGTGAAGTAAACATGGAAAATTAACTCTAATGGAAAATTCACTCCATGATGGAAACAATAACAACTGCTTTACCAAACTCTGCTGCACAACCATACAGTGCAATGACCTCACTGACACCACACTAGCTAAAGTCAACGAACAAAGATGGAGAAATAGGCAGGATTTAAAGACAATAAATAATTATGCATGGAAAGCTGGGAGTTCAGTAATATGTTGCAATATCAGATTGTCCTGCAGGGTTTAATGCAAAAGGTTAAATATTTGGAGTTGTTCTATAAATGGCCACAGCAATTAACCGTAACAATTAATGTAACTGTTTCTTTCAGATAGAAGCTGGATTACAGATGTTGTGACAATGCCAGGCAGAAGAATCCAGCTGTCAGTCATTTATACTGTATATATGCAGTATAATTCACACACACCTCTCTGTGATTAAAAAACAGTTTCAACTGTCAAACAGGCTCTGAAATGTCACTAGGAGAGATGCATTATTTATTTATTTACTTTATTTTTCCAGTTTCCAACACTATATAATTTATTGACTAGTATTATATTACTATTAGTGTTACTATTATAACTATATATACTATAAACTATACTTGATTCAGTGTTGTTTTATGCCATTTATGTGGATGGACAAGTCACCTAAATTCACAAAAATAAGTCACAGGAAGATTTTATCAACCCTGAAGATCTGCCATGCATGTTGGAAAACACCGCTGATGTGATGTTATTCCTGCTTTAATGATTAATTCTGTGCCCAGGGATGCAGGAGAGCACGTGTTCTGTGCTGTTCTGTACTTGTCCTTGTTCCCATGTTATTTGATCACCTGCCTTGAACAGGGTCACACAGACCTTCAGGACCAGCCTCTTCAGCTCCAACACTCATCTGAAGGACACATCAGTTATCAACCATGACAATCTAATTGCTCTTTAAGGTGTATTTGATGGGGGGAACATATCAAGTCTTCTCTGGTTCCCATTTACTTTCATTAATCTTTCATTCAGCCCTTAATGGGAGTTCTACGATAACACATTATGTCTGCTGTGAAACCATTTTCACCTTTACAGAAAAGTAAATTAAGTTTGCTCCAAAAAACCTGTGCACACACACACACCTGCACACACATACAGACATCCTTGGTCACACAGCAACAGGATCTCCATCAACACAGACAACACTTTTCTTAGCAGTGTATTGTGAAAACTAGGTCAGACCCATTTATTTACTGCTAATCAATGTCCTTGGATGTGTTTTGCCTTTGGGACTCTTTACCTGTTCCACTTTGATGAATCCTACAAACTGTAGACATAGACCGAATCCCAGGACCTGGGGCTTCAGTCTGAGGTTTAGGGGTTGCAAGACACCAAATTGATACACCTGATGACCAGGGCACGCTAACACAAGGGAGAGGTCATCTTTACAGCTGACAGTAAATCCAATAATTGAACAGCAAAGGACTGAGAAAACATTAGCTTTTGAGATGCATTGCTTTTCTTATCCTACTCTAAAAAAACAAAAATAAACAAACAACAAAAAAAATCCAAAATATGTGTCATTGTGTATAAAAAACATATTTGTTAAAACATGATTAAAGAAAGGTATGCAGAAATGTGTCAAGTTATCATCATCTTTGTTTTGATAAGAAGAATAAGACAGATGGGACAGTCAGGCCTCAGAAAAGACCTTTCTTGTTTGCTTATTTACAGTATGTATAAACAAATAAATAAGTCACAAATCTGTTGACATTTAAAAAAAATGGTTTGACTTAGTGAAGGTGCGCAGCTCCACAAGAGAATAGAACTCTAAGCTATATTTAGTCCAGTCAGAAAACCCGCACCACAGTCATTGGCCATAGTGAGTTTGATTAGATAGAAAGGAGCTTAACTCAGGGACTGAAGTAGTTAGTTAGTGTTTGGTCACTGACTGTGTTTATAGCACCACCCACAGGGTGGGTTCAGGTTTCATGAATGCAAGTTAGACGTAAAGTCCCAACCTCTTCTCAGCAGCCAATGACCCATGACCCTTAGAAAACATCACCATTCCATTGTATAAAGTGACGACATAATGTCAAACAATGAAACAAACACGACTGCGCTGCAGACAAGTGCAAAATGTGACATCAGTGATGTCAGCTGTTGACGCTGACATCACTTCTCTTCATTAGACACTGTACCAGAAGGTAAAGTTTACTTTGGTGCAGTGCTGCTGTCTTTAGCATGTCAATGCTACATATTACCATGGGTTACCATAGACCTATTGTGTCTCACTCTACAGACACACAGTTTTCTGAGACGATAACACCAGAGAGTGCAAACATTTACACTGGAGGGAGTAGGGGCAGGGGTATCTTTGCAGGCAGGACAATGCTAGTTTTCACAAAATGTGAAAAAAAAACCCATATGCCTGAATTTCAAGCTATTAGACCTTTAGACCTTCAGGGAGCAATACACATTATGTTAATGGTTAAGTTTTAACATTAAGTTCACAAAAGTGATAAATATAAGTATGTTTTGTGCAGTAAGTATCTGATTTAATTATGCTAGAGACTATTGGGAATGTATCCAGAGAGTATTTTGTGTTTATTTAATTAAAGAGTTAATATGATTATAACTTAAGGGCTGTAAATACTTTAGTGCATTAGTAAAATCAAAGTGATGAAATGAACTGAATGATTTCAGAGAACATATCAGACTATATAGCAGGGTTTACTCCTATGTAAAAAGGAAAATAATGAAATTGTGCAAGGCACACTAAACTACACATGATTAAGAGTGAGTCATTTGATTACTAATTTAATAGAAACATTACTCATAACTCATAAACCTCTACGGCCTACTTGCTACCTTTTGATGTTATATAATATGGGGTTTACTGCTGCAAAAATAAGATTTCATTAATGTCTGGTCATTATTTCAAAATCCCCTTAAAGCACTCAGTCACTATTTCAAAAAAGAAGCTGACATTTTAAAAACTGTCCCTTGTTATTAACACCCTCCCCCTGGCGCATCAAAGCAGGAGCTTCAAAGCATGATCGCACCGTCAGTCACTGCTCACACATTATGGTCATTGAGTCTCACCATCATTTCTTAATTTCAATCTATTCCAGATTCTGTTAAATTTAATGTTAAACTATAACCATATAGAATGCATCGTAACTAAATCAAAGCTGTGTTATGCTGGTTCACCAGTGCAAACCTGTATTCTATTATCAAAGTGGTAGTTATGAATCATCATCATGGTTCTGTTACCTCATCCAGGAGACTGAATATTCAGATGTGCTTTTGTTTTTGATTCTTTTATAATTTATAATTATAATGAAGTAATAAAATATAGATATTAATCTGGACAAGGATTTGGATTCCAGATTCCCTTAAAATGTGAAGTCATGTGGAATCATTATCTTTGACACAAACAAATAAGTGAGGGGGCTCACCAGGAGGCAGTTGAAGATGACGTAGAGAATGAGCATCCACAGGCTCCTGTAGCCCATATGTAGCCCAGCCCATAACCAGACCAGGGAGATGATCAGGAACAGGGTTAGGACCAGTGGCACCTCTGGAGGACAAGATGACACAATTCTTTAAAAATACAGCACAATGGAGGAGCACAAATAAATAATAGGTCTGTCAAACAATAACAATTAACTGAGTAATCAAAGGGTAGATGTGGTTAATCATGTTTAATTGTGATCATAACTAATCACAATTAAGCGTGATAGACAGCGTTCCTAAATATGTGTATTTTTTTCTGGAATAAAAAGATAATCAACAGCAGGCAGATATTTGTGTTTCCCTACTGTTTTTTATTTTTTTATTTCTGACTAATCCAAACAATGAAATTGTTAACATGGAAATATATTCAAAAGAACAACTCAATTTCCCCAACAGTATTAATAAGTCTTCAGTCCATGGCAATCTCTTTGACAAATGCATCAGTCAGCTTGTCAGCAGTGGACATGCAGTACGTACTGCCCTGAGGTCAGTGAGGATGATCTGTTTCAAGCTGGGTGTCTGACCTAAAGGTGAAGCCTCCACAAATATACTAGTAGGCCATGACAATTAAAGAAGGAGTTCTTCTTTGCAGCGTGTGCAAATGACAGCAACTGTGGAATTGCTATAAACATCAACTTTTCAGGATAATGCATGGTGCCAACATGTAATTTGAATGAGGCCCATATTAATGCTTTTATTGTTTTATAAGTGCTCATTTAGCAGCAATGTTGCATTGTAAGATAAGTAGATGAGGTGAGACCTTTAGTTGTCCCACATTGGGGAAATTCACATTTCACTTTAACAATGTGAAGAAAACAAGCTGGGCCTCTGTTCAGTGGTAATACATGTGTCATCCATCTCATATGCTAAAACAACAGAGGATCCCGTCTGCTTTTATTAAAAGACACCATAATTACAATTAAATAAAGACTCCCACAGGAGTCAGGCTGTTGGACTGACTCATCATAACAAAGACAGAGAGGCCTGCTCAAGAAAAAAAAAAAAAAAAAACCATCAAAATAACTCTTCAAGCTCAGTTTTATAACACATCCCAGAAAGTGATCCCTCAACTCAGGTGGGCGTTGCATACAAGGTGCAAAGGTCAACTAAATGTTGGACAGAAATGTGTTTTAATTACATTCATCCTCTTTTCAGTCATTAGATTCAGACCCAATGATATAAAAAGTCTGAAAAGCAACGGAATTTAAAGTTAGAAGAAATAATGAGAGAACTAAAAGTTAGCCCTTCATTTTCACACCTGCCTTGTTCCCAATGACCTGTTTACTTCTAACTATGTGTCGCCATCTAGGTGTGGTCGTCTGCGTTCATCAGGTGACTGGAATTTGCCGCAAGGTGTTTTTGTTCATGCTGTTGTCATTGTGTTTCTGAAAACACAATGTATCCTTGATAACATCCAATCCATGTTTTAAAGAGCTGTTATCAGGTCTGCTTGTTAGAAGCAGGTTTAGTGTACCAGAAACCAAACAGATGGACATGACCGTTGGTTTTACACTGATCTGTAAATCCCCAGGGATGACGTTACAAATTAAAGGAGACACTGCAGCCTCTTTGCCACTCCAGTCTGTTGGTCTGTGTTATGTGGAACAAACTGTACAGTTCACTTCACAAGTAGGATGGAAACACAAGGCACAGGGCCCAGGTTTGCACAAAAAGTTCTTATTTAGGTGCAACTTCCAGCACCTTGTCATTTACACTGTGGTCCAAGTTTTTCTCCAAACCAACAACTTTCTTCTGGCTCAGCTATTTTTTCCTTTTTGTACTACATTTTGCTTTCACCTTATTTCTTCTCGACATGATTTGTAATTAATTTGAATTATTAGTTGTATGTTTTATAGGGCGTTCAGGTGACGCTTGAGAAATATTTCTATTTCCATTGTATGCACTTTAGTTGTCTTTTTATATTTAGGAAGCATGATGATGAGAAGAATCAGACTAAGGGTTGGCTTAGTCTGATTCTTCTCATCATCATTCAGACTGCTGAGCAGCTCCAGTCTTTCATAAAGCAAACAACACTTGTCTCTGTCCGAACCTTTGGAATTTTGCAGAAATCAAGTTCATATCAGTGACACAGCTACACATTCAAGTCCAGCGCAGCTTTCCTACACAAATTTGGAAGACTTTGGAAGTGTTACTGTTGTAACTTCAGGGACATGATTTACCAAACTCAGAATGCTTTGAGCTAAAAACACAGACTCTTTCCATTGAGTTTTAGTGCCAAAATTCAGTTTCACAGCCATTGTTCTTGCTGTAATGAACAGATAAAGTGGCTCAAATTAAAATGCCTAAACATGTATAAACTTAGTAATGACACAGCTAGTACTATTTAATACAGCAATCACTTGTATATCCCGTCTCCTCTGTGTCAAACTTTTCTTCCTCTTTTGTGATCTGTAACAACCTTCCTCCCATCTCACCAATGTTTCCATCTCCTCTCCGTCCAAGACTGTAAGCACATTCCAGTCTGAAAGCAGAGCTCCCACAGTAAAGGAAAAATTCCCATGGCCAAATGAAAACTGACTACAAACTGTTGACTGAGAGTTTGCCTGAATGCCTCCTTGAGGGTGAAGACGGAGAAAAAGAAGAAGAAGAAGAAGATGCGGCAGAAAGAAATGGGGAGTGCGCTCATCTTCAGCTGGTAAAAGGTTGGTGCATTTCTGTCCACAAACTTGGCAGAAATACACAAACACAGACTTGATTCTCTGCATAGAGATGCAAACAGTTGTTAAAGGGTACTTTCAAATCCCACAGAGCACAAGACAAAGAGCTTATTTTCTCTGCAGGTGACCCCACTCTGGGCTGCATTTGATCGGAGAATGATCCTAGTGTGAGAAGACAAACTGTGAAAAGTGCACAGGTTCAACAGAAACAGTGACAGGAGGAAACTCAAGACCCAAGTAGAGTCAACATCTGTAATAACAGTGAGTGCAGTGAGTGACTTATGGGCAACTATATGAGTCAGGGCTGTGAGAACTGCAGTACCTGAGTGTGAACACGTACAACACGGCAGAGATCAAATACATTTCCTCTATCTTTCAACATTCTGCTATCATGTTAATGATTTTGTTTTCCTGTACATGGCACACACTGGTCCTAGAATGTTACTATAAAAATAAAGAAGCTGATTTTCCCTTTAAAGACTTGATGTTTTTGAACCAAAAAACAGAACAGAGCGGGGAAAAAAGGAGATGAGAGAAAGAAATATATTAGAAAGAGATCATATTGTTTCAAATGAATTGCCATTTTTGAGAGGGAAGGTTACAATGTGACAAGAAACTAGGATCTTAAAGATAAACATTCACTTATCTGCCCTCTTAATCTTCATCACCTCTATCTGTACCGCACCATAAATTAAATTAAATTAAGCATGCACAAGTAGACAAGTTATTCTTCAAATGATGAACAAACATGTCAAATAGCACCACCTACAGTACTTAAATCAATCGGAAAAAGGTGACTGTACAATGTTTACAGCAAAGAGCTCCACAATTACATCGGAGTAACTTATTTTTATCATTTCCTCATTCCAGACTGGAGTGATTAACACACAGGCGAGGTCATCTTTGCAACAATAAAACACTGGCAGGTATTCATTCATGAAGTGCTCTGTTTCAAACTTGATTTGTAATCATTTCATTATCAAGGGAAAGGCATCTTTTAGTACCACACACACCGTAGCTTCATTTGGGACAGAGGTAAAAGTCAAGTCATTTGTTATTAATATTTGTGAGTGGTACACTTTCTCTGTTTCAGTGAGATCCAATGATTACTGAGGTAAATGGAACATGTGTCTTACACTGACACTGACTTTAATGGTTTCAGATGATGCTGTACCAGACCTCAGTGTGCACAGATTAGAAACTGTGGCTTCTAAGACGTTGACAGCAGGTACGTGACTTGCCTGCCTGCGGTCCAGGTCTGTTTCATAACTGGTAGAGTCTAGGGGTGTGACCCTGTGTGTTGTTATCATCAGATTGGGTTTGTGTTTAATAAATAAAAATATTAAGTGAGTGAATATAATACAATAAAGCTTTTATGACAGTGTTTATACACGATCTTATTTAAGTGCAACACTTATGAAAGGACCTGCAAACACACTTCCAAACATTTGAAACAAAATGTCAATATTTATTATGATCATTAACATCAGACTGAAACTATTCTGTGATCTTGACTATATTAACCACTCTTTCATTTTCTCCCTCTCTCTCTTGTTCTGTGTACTCCTGTTTGTATTGTGTAATTCTGTGTCAAAATAAAACTAAGGCTGACCCGGCATGAACTTTGATAATGGATGTTCTCGGCCAGGATTTCTTTATTTTTACAACCCAGTTGCTTTATGTAACTACACATGTGTATACACACACACAAACACACACACAGACACATGTGTACACAATATAGACACAACAACTGATATCTTCTGTATCTAACTGTTTTTACATGCAAGGTTACATTAAGTTGAGTTTATGTTTTTTTTTACATGCACAAGGCAATATTTTTTACCACCTGTCTCAGAATGATGGAGCTGAACTATTGAAATCTTTATGTTCAAGGCGGTTTTAATGTCAAGGACTTAGTTTGGACTTACTAGTCAGTGATCTGACTCAAACAGGGTCTCCTGGGGCACCTCTACATAAACACAGGACCAATTCAAATGTGGTATGAATGATTTTCATCATTAGAATCTACATTACACGGTGACGAAGAGTAGACAGCAGCAGATTCTTGTCACAATCTGACGTATTTCCCTTAACACTAGCATTAATACTGTATTGTAAAAGTGATTCCCACCAAGATAATCGAGTGACCTTGAGAATGCCAAAAATTTAAACACCTACATTTGGTTTATTTAAACAATGCACTTTTAAGGCAAACCAGATTACCAGGACAACTCCATGCAGTTACAAAAGTGGCTTATTTGTGGCAGTATTACCACAAAGAGTACTGACCAGTGTGAATAAGCACAAGTAAGAAGAAAACCCATCTCATTGTTTGGCCAAGACCAATAACAGAAATCCATCCTCTTTTCAGCCTACATAAAAAAAACACAGCATACTGTACAGTCCTGTAGTGAAGTACTTCTGCACCTTCGTGTCTGACAACGCCTGAAAATTTTCAAACTTAACCTCTCGTGCTACAGTGTCACTCTGTTGACTTTGTTATTTTTCCCCAAACTGCGTAAACTACAGTTGCAAGCGAGGTCCAGACCACACCAAAGTTTGAAAAGCTTTTCCACCAAGTCAGAGTCAAAGACACTGAGGAAACAATGGGGGCTCTGTTGGTTGAACTTAGTGACCTTAGAACAAAATCATATTTTATTGAGGAAGTGGCAAACATCCATCTGTGTAATTTCTTTTTGATGACCTTTTCTTAATGACTTTGTTCATGTCTTTTACAAAAGACATAAAGGCTGGTTAAATATATAAATGTAAATATTTAAATTGTTAAAGTACTTTTCTTCCTTTACTCTTAATAAAGGAAGCCATGTATATCTACTGTAATCTTATATACACATTTGTACCTGTGCTGTTGGTGCGTCCACGATACATGTCATCATAGGCCTTCCACTGGTGAGTAACCTGGTAGGCATGGATGAATACCACGAGCACTGCCACCAAACAGATGAGAGGCACCAGCACTGCTGTGCACAGAGCTGTGTAGATGTTTGGGATGAAGCACCTGGAGAAAAGACAAACACAGAAGAGTGTACAAGGTTTATGATACCATATATTTTAAAAATTAGAGAGAGAGAAAATATTCTTTAATTTTTAATTTAAGATTTTAACTGTATTTCCTACAGTTAAGACTTTGTTTTTCCAGTGTAACAAGCAGGATCAGCTTATGCCTGGCAGTTATATTGCCTAATGAGAGCTTTAGTTTTAAACTGCACAACAGAAAACTGTTTGTTCCTGCTTCAGAAAATCCAGGTCACTTTGCAGGTTTAGTCGAGTACAGTAATATCTTATGCCACAGGTGCTTAGGTGTTTTTCTATTTTAAGATATGAGCTCACTGTTTCTGTTCAGTTTAGACTGTGAGTCATTTTCACTTTCTTGGCAGAACAATTTATTTTAGACATTTAGGACATTTATTAAATGGAATTCAGGAATGTAATTAATCCCTAATCAGTCAAAAGGAAAACGAAAAGAACTCCACTGGTTAAGAGTTCATTAATATCTGCTTGTTAGTTTATCACAAGATTCAACCCTTCTTTATTTTAAAAACACATTTCAACTTTAAATTTAATTTTTAGTTTAACTGTTAGAATCTGTGCTGCAGTTTATGGTCATCGTTGTCTTATTCTCTACTTCATGAAGTGTCAGACAACAGAGGATCACAGTTCCAGTTACTGGAAACTAAAATTATATCATATTCCTACACCTTCACTCATGGCTGAATAAATTTCGGCATGCAGTCAAATTCTGACCGCAAGTCTCCTCTTTGGGAACCCCAAAATCAACATGTGAAAGTATGCTGTCTTCCATTCCTTTGCTAGTCATCATTTTTACTGAAATCCATAATTAGAGTTTAGCTTTTATTAAATTTACGTAATGAATGAGTGTATGGTCTTTTCAAGAAAGTAGGTTTCTTGGTCTATAGTTCCAAAAAATTATAGTCCAGATGAATCTGAACATAATGTGCCACTCTTAGTATCTGCGCATGTCTTCATGGTCATTGTGAAAAGTCTAATTTCCCCAGTTATTTCTTGTTTTGCTTCTTTATGGGTGAACTTTGATGAAGCATTTTCATCTGAGAAAATAAAAAATTATACATAAACTGAAACCGAGCATAAACAGAAAAAAAAAAAAAAGAGGGAGGGCTTCTCCTTTCATTACTGGAACTACTGTAGTCAAAACACAGAATCAGGTAAGGCTTTTCATAACTCTGTCCCACACTGAATTATGAATATTTACACTTCTCTAGCCTTGCCAATCAAAAACCCTCGGGTTTTGTAGCAGATGGGAAAAATACTAAGGGTAATTTTACTGAACCTGAGGTTTGTAAGAAAACAATTAAAAGTAAATGCATATGCATATTAGAGAGATATATGTGAAAGACACATGTTGGTACAAAGGCAGGGAGAAAATCAGAGACCCAACAAGAGACTCCCTGTTAACACTGATTGGAAGAGAGAGATAAGTGAATAGGGTGACAGGAGGGGGTGTGGAGGGGGTGATTCAAAGGCCGCCTCTATCCTTCAGAGCCAAAGGCTGACTTTCCAGGAAACTGAAGCCCCCTGTGTCTTCTCACACCTCTCATGTGTACGCTCACTGTCCACTATGCATCCACCCACAGGAAAAAGGCTAACGTTACCTATCCCAGGATAACAGCCACACCTTGGACCACTGGCTGTTTTTAGACATATTTTAAAGGTCCAAGCTTCATCAGTACTTCCTCTTTTATAAGTGGTAGGAGAAAAACATGAAGTGTGGGTTATTTAAGGTCCCTTCGGTCCCTCCTGCACCCTGCTGTAAATTCCTCTGGCGTGGAGAGACACACGTAAACACTGCCTCACCTGATGTCATGCCGTCAGGTGTTTTGCTCTACTTAAGTGGAATTTGAGTGAGTCTAAAAAAAGACATTGAAGTCAGCATTCACCTGTAAAAACACATTCCTCAGCCTTGCTTTGAAAAGACAACCTGACCAGACAACCTGTTGACGCATCAAATCCAAATACATTTCGTGCTTTTCTTCCAACTCACACGTCTCCTTGCACCAGTCCATAAGCAGCATGTATGGTCCAACCAAAGCCTCCAAGCAGGACGATCACCAAGATGATGATGACCACAGCAGGAAGTCCCCAGCCCAACAGGAAGTAGAGCAGGTACCTGCGTTCTGTGTGCTCATCGTTCATCACCAGCACTTGCCAAAAGTTCACAGCCTGGAGACATGGTTTGAAGAAAACATCATGTGAGCATGACTGTAAAAACCATGCAGACATGAAAGACCCGTGAGAGGTTCTCCCCCATATGTTTACTCAGTAAACTAGCAAATAGTGATTAACAATAGTTTAGAACAATAGTCATGTTTTTCATGACTGCAACATTAACATTAAATATTTCCACTGGAACCTGTGTCTCAACGACAACTGACTTTTATTTTGGAAAAAAACAAGAATTAAGGGGAACTCTTGGTCAAGACATTATGGTGTTACAGCCGAATACGAAGGAAAGTAATTGACCACTGCATTTAACTGATCTAGTAAACATTAGTAACATAGTCTCTTCACTATGGATTTTTATTTTAAGACAACTAAACTCTCAGCTCTGGTGGGCCACGTTAACTGATAAGATAGACAGCATTTGGCCCATGGGTCTCGAGTTTGAGCACTGTATTGTTACATAAGTGGCTTATCAGAGCATCTGTTGACTGAAGAGACAAAGCCTTATCTTTATGAGAAGACATTACTGAGGGAAAATTACTTTTGTCTTTATTGTGATAGTAGAGGCCAAAGGCCAAGTCTTTATGGTAAAATGTATATTCACTTTAAGGAGAAGCTGGTGCAATTCGCACAGCTAGTTTTAATGTGAAGCCTGTGTCAGAGTGACACCCAATAATGTACAACAGCTGAGAGTGTTTGCCAGTATCCATCAGTCTGCAAACAGGACATCTGCAGAGGGGGAGTGATGCAATAATATG